GAGGTGTCAGAAGTGTAAAGAGGCGTTATATTGTTGTGAGACTCATCAGGTATATGTGGTTCTTTTTTTTTTCTGGTGTTGTTGGACTCGAAGACGGGAACTGAATGTTTTTGTCGGCTGAGAATTGACTGGCCATCGCATAAACTGTCTGCGAGGTTCGTTGGTGATTTTGGTTTTGACTTTTACACTCGACAGTCTTTTGTTACCTTGATCTCATTCTCCCCTGATATTGCATACTTCAAGCATCTCTAACACGCTCTCAACGCCACACCTTAACTTTGTAAACCCTTCAAGGACCTGCCCCGATCGCATTTGTATTTTTATATAAACAGCATTAGACTACAAGGGTTGAAGGAAAAAGTACAAACAACAGAGGAATATTGAAATAATAAATATCCTTAAAACGTGCTCCACTTCACGTCAGCATGAACCCGCCAAAATCTAGAAACGCCTCGTCAAGTGACATCTTGCGCACCACGAGGGCCTCGACGATGAGCCGGCTCCCATGCCCTTCAACCGTCCCAGCGTCTTCGGTAAGGGGGATAGCCATTGCGGGCGTAGGGACAAAAATATTATCCTCTTCGTCATCTTCAACGGGGCCAGAAAGGAAGACATCATTGGAATTTACAGATGGTTGACCATTGGGCGATTCGTCGACTGAGACGTGGAGCGCTGCGAGCCCCGAGACGAGAGCGGATGTTTCTGCAGGTGTGGGGTCGTGTGTGTCTTCGTCTCCAGTAAAAGGCACAGGACCGGGGGAGGGAGATGGAGAAGGGGTGTCCGAGGAGGGAGTAGTGGTAGAATTGTGAGAGATGGTACCAGATGTAGCATATGCGATGAGTGCGCGCCGTTTCTCCTCGCGTTTACGGTCGCGTACTTGTCGGCGGGTGAGTGCCTTTACGGCAGGGTCGCGGTTAGCAGTGTGTTTGGTGTTGGTGGACTCGTCGTCGTCCGCGCCTTCGGGGTTAGTGATGTGTTTGATTTTCTTGAGACGCTTTGTCTTGATAAGCCCAACATAGTGGGAGTTGGTGTGCATCTGCATGCG